AATATTATTACCCATTACTTTTGAATAGTTTTAATTTGTACATATTATTAATAACATTGTAAAGTCAATATAATTATTCATAGTCACATGTAATTTTAAATAGTTTCACCTAGTATTGTATTGTTTATGGATACGAATTTTATCGTACATCCATCGATTTTCTTAAATGTGAATATGAAATCAGATAGAGAAAAGTAACATGGAAAACCGATTTACATAAATCCATTAGTATCTACTCCCTCCGTCCTATAAAAAGCGTCAATGTGGGACTCCGTGCTGGTTAAACTTTCTTAAGTTTGATTAGATTTGTACTTTTTTGTGAGTATGATTAGATTTGTATAAAATATTAGCAACATTTATATCCTCAAATAAATTTATTATGAAAATATATTCAATGGTCTAAACATAGGGCAGATGTACATCAATAATATCGTGTTGCATATTGCCCATAATTCAAATGCATTTGAATATTGAAGTGCCAGTTCTCTCGTTGATAGAAAAAACTAATCGATCTCCATAGAGAAATGGCAATCTAATTATCAAATAGACCGTGTTCTATTTCATCTTGACTTGACATTTCTCTGTCTTCTGAATCTATGGTTTTCAGATGGTAAAATGCTGTGGAGTTGACATTTCATCTTGACTTGACATTTCTCTGTCTTCCAATCTATGCATGGTTTTCAGATGGTAAAATGCTGTGGAGTTATGCTAAAGAGCTGTGGACTTCGGTGGAAACTTGGTCCCAGCAGTAAGGGGTTGGTCCTGAACCAAGATATTAGCCACATCAAGACATGGTGGAAACTGCTAACTCAAGATCTACAGATAAATTGCCACAGGCTGACGATCATAGTATACACGATATGGAACTTATAGAAAGAGCGATGCCGTTGGGTTTTCGACAAGAGGGCACAAACCACACAACAACTCCTGCAAATAATAAGGGAAGATCAGCAGCAGCTACAACAGGCGCATGACAATGTTCAGGAAGACAGCTAGAAGGCGGCGGCAATTCAGCAATTAGCTGTGCTATGCAGGGCTATAGTTCCCGGTTGGGTGTCGCAAGTCGCAATGATATTTCTATCTGTTTTTCATCCTGCTTTAATTTCCCTTCTGTTCAATTGAACTTCTGTAACCTGTACATACTATGCTACCTTCTATTGAAACGGCAGAGCGCACCTGCCTCTTTTTGCTCGAAAAAATAGACAAGAGTTGTCCGTGCTGGAAAGAAAAGTCTAAAATTTAATATATATTATATTATATTAAGCGGCCATCAGAGAGATGTACCTTTTGTTCAACAATATATGAAAACACTATTTTCTATGTATTTCTCGCAACTATTTTGTTTTTCAAACACGCAGGGATGTGGTATATCATATATCAAGAAAAAATAAAGGTAAAGAAACCCATACAACTCACACCAACACCAGACACACTTACAAATCTACACCCTGGAAACACACAGATCACTTGTTCTTACACAAAACACTCGACCTCAACCAGGAAAATACCCCACTAAATAGACTTGCTGTGGCAGGGCAGCCAGGAAAATACCCCACTAAACAAATACCCCACTAAATTCCTTTGGTCCCTGCCAGCACCTAAAGTCTCAACTCATCCAAAGCCAACAGCAAGGTGCTTCGCAACTAATCAAATGATGCGACAAAATGATCTTTCCTTGTCTATAAAAACTTGGGCATTCATTATAACTTGATTTATTTACTATGATGAGCATGCACAGAGCGGAACACTGGAAGTCCTGTTTTCCTATGATGCTGCATTGCAGAGGTCTGTGCCATTTTGAAGAGTGTTGGAAAACGGGGGGTTTCCAGCAGGCGGGGCACGGAAGGCCTTCACCTAGCCGGGAGCTCTGGGCGAAGGGATGTGAAATGGGGGGCAGGCCCTAGCTCAATCAATGTTTTATTAATGTGTTCACCCACGTCCCTTACATAGCATCCGGCTTCCCCTTTTATAGGGTACTGTTCGCTACTACTTCACGGTACAAATTTGTCCTTTGACAGCTAAGGTACGTTCCTAAAATATCCTAATACCAGTACAAATCCTCAGGGGCATCCCGGGTCCTGCACCGCCTTTGCTCCTTGGGCCTTAGCCTCAGGCCCATGGGAGGCCTGTCTCCGATCTTGGGTCGCGGCGCTGTGAAGACCCCTTTCTCTCGGGCGAAGACAACATAGCCTCCGCCTGAGCCGCCGGAGCCTACGCCTTCGTTCCTGAGTCTCCGCCTATGGACTCCTCCGGACATCTTCAGGGTCGTGCTCCGGCTTCCGTCCTACTGACGGCCAGTGGCGGAGGCCTTCTGGGTTTCTTCCCAAAACATTCGTGGCCTCCGCTTGAATTGTTGGGGTCTCCGCTCCATCACAGGCTCCACGCGAAGGCTTCACCGAGCATCCCAGCAAAATACTTACACAAATGTTCCAATGGTATTAGCTTATGTTTGCACTAGCCTCCGCTACTTGTGTATTGGTGTTCCAACAGTTCCCCCCTTGAGGGTGCGGTCTGATGCGAGCGGGCCATGAGCCTTAGGCGCGACACTGATACCGAGTGGCGGAGGCTTGCCCCTTTCCCTCCTGGGTCGCCCGTATCGGACCATTGGAGGGGCGACGTGTTGCCGTTTGACTCGTTGCGGTGGCCTGGCGCCCGATGCTCGCGAATAGTCGCAACCGTTGGTGTTTGGATTTCGAAGCGTCCCTCTGTGGCCTATATAAAGGGCTGGTTGGTGGGGAGGACCCCCGGTGCCGCTCGAGCCATCGCTTTCTCTCCTGTAGCTTTCCAAGCTCCGCATGTGCTTCTTTGCTGTCTTGTCTTGGTGCCTTAGAATTTTCCCTGCTCCTTTTGGTTCTGTGCTACCTTTGGAAGTGGCTTCGCCTACTAGCTCTAATCTTCGCTGGCCTAGCTTTAGCGGTCCTTATTCCCGCTTGCTTGGCGTGAGGTCTGAGGGTTGGTCAAAGAGGTACGAAGAGTGTATGTCTGCGTCTGCGGAGGCTCAAAACGATTTAGAGAATATTGAAGCTTCTGTCGGAGACCTGATTTCCGTTTCCCCGGTTGAGAAGGCAAAGGTTCAAATGGACAGGTCTAGGGATTTTGGGCCTTCGCTCATGACAGAAGAGGCGATAAAGGTTCTGGAGGATGAGGGCTGCTTCCCAGCAGAGAAGGGCTGTCCTCCGCACAGTGAGACTAGTGAGATATGTGTTCTCAGCTATTTCGGTGTATCTCCTGGTCGCTATCAATGTCCCAACGTGGTTTATCAAATTGATTAACAAATTCAGAAAATGATTCCGTTGGAAGGGCAGGGAGCAGGTTAATGGAGGATGCTGTTTGGTTGCTTGGGAGAAGGTGCAACGACCGATTGACCTTGGAGGCCTTGGCATACTTAATCTTGAGACCATGAGCTGGGCCTTGCAGATGCGATGGCAATGGCTCAAGAAAACTCGAGCTGATCATCCTTGGGTTGATTTGGAACTGCCTTGTCATGCTAACATGTGGGCATTATTCTCTACTGCTGTAACAACCCAAGTTGGAAATGGCAACAACACACTATTTTGGACAGATCGATGGCTCCATGGATGTTCCATTTCTGAGTTGGCACCTGCAGTGGTTGCTTGTGTCAGACCTCAAATTAAAACCAAAATAACAGTGGCAGAGGCACTTGAAAATAATGTTTGGGTGAGTGATATTCAGGAAGGCATGTCCATGATTGGACTCTCAGAGTACTTGCACCTTTGGGATGGTCTTAGGGAGGTTGCACTCTCCTAGGATGATGATCAACATATTTGGAGATTTGATGCCTCTGGAACATACTCTGCCAAGTCTACCTACCGAGCTTTCTTCTATGGTTCAGTGACATTTGAGCCTTGGCGACGTTTATGGAAGTCATGGGCCCTTGGAAAATGTAAATTTTTTATTTGGCTCGCCATCAGAAACCGATGTTGGACAGCAGATTGGCTTGCTCGCCGAGGATTGTCACATCCAAAGAGATGTCCATTATGCGACCAAGAGAGGAGACTATTGAACACCTGCTCACTAATTGTGTGTTGTCATGTCAAATATGGTTTAGCATCCTTTCGCCTATGGAGATGGATGAAGCAGTACCACAACAGAATGAACATAGCTTTGCTGATTGGTGGGCCAAGTGCATTCGTAGAGTCAAGAAGGAGTACAAAAAAGGGGTTAATTCGCTAATCATTCTGACATCTTGGCTGATATGGAAGCATCGCAATTCCTCTGTCTTTGATGGAGCTACTCCATCCGTTAACGAGGTCTTGAGACAGTTTAGAGATGAGTACAAATTGTGGTGCCTGGCTGGAGCTAAGAAGCTCCAAGCACTTCGGTTAGATGGGGTTGGGACCTCTGGTTAGGTGCCTGATTGTCGGTCGTCAGATGTCTCATAGGTGATAATGTTGTAAGTGTCCCAACCTTCTCATGTATGGTATCGGCATAAGTTGGTAATGTACTCAGGCCTTTATTTCCTCTCTATAATACAATGATACGCAGCTCTCCTGCGTATTCGAGAAAAAAGAAGTTTTTTCCACTATCAAGTGCTCATCGAGCGGGCATGCAGTCGACTTTAATTCAGACATGGCCATGCAATCTTATATTGTTTTTACTTTTTCCACTGTCGAGTGCTCATCGAGTGGCCATGCGACCGGCTCCAATTTGGACATAACGGTTCATAGCCAGCTCAAATGTCTAGAATCTGGTTAGAGGACAAGACACATGGTTTTTTTGGCCAGTTTTTCACTGGTTCAATGTGCATAACGTGTGGTGAGCGAAAAAAATCTCCTTACTATAACACTAGAGATAGATACCTCTTTAACCACACAAAAAATCAGAAGAAAAAAGAAAACCACACCCACCACTCAAATAAAATTATGTTATACATTGATTGTCACGCCATAAGTACTTCTCTGCAACAAACACTAACAAAACTAATAGTGTTTGCGTCACAACAGTTATTATCTCTGCCATCTTCTTCACATAGAATGGTCTTAACTGTAGTTCAATCCCATAATGGCTATTCCTTGGTGACAACCAACCACAATCCTGCACATAGTTAATATACACTTCATTGCATGAACATTATGCAAGCCAAATATTCATGATAAATTGGAGTATATGACGGTACTACAAGTTCCGAACAATCTTACAACCAATTAAAAGATGAACAACTAACAAGCATATTTTGTATGTAGACTATTATTGCTCTAGTCTTGGCATGTATCACACAAATGTTCTAGTATGGTGAGACGAATAGTGGTAATTTGGTTGTCTAAATAGGTACTAGCTGGTTTATGATCGATGTCGTTACAAATGCACCATATTCAAATTAACACTTTTCTATGAAGTTAGGATGAAAATATAAGAGGAATACTATATGTATGCAGGGTTAGCCTCAAAGCAAAATTTGGATGTATGGTGTTACACAAAATTAGGCTAACTGGGTGCCTTCTAAAACTATGTGTTAGCAACCGTTTTGCAATGGCATGTGGCAGTCTTAACCTCTTTTTAGAGCAACTTTTGGTGCAAATAGTTCATTCTTCTTGCATAGTTTCTAGCCAAAAACAAGTCAATTAATAATCAAATATTGTTTGTCTTTTCTCAGAGAAATAATAAGTCAGATGCTTTAACACAAAGAACACTATATGCATCCAAAATGGAATTAAAATTCCTGTGAAGGTAGGTACTACTATAGAGTCTAGGACTTTAACTGGGCGCACATATGATTTCACACTAGAACCTTCACTATATTTGTCGAATAAAAAAAATACAAACATACAATTTTGCAAAAATTGACAAATTTTCTTGTTTAATTCAGTGGTTTTAACTGCACGAGTGTTGTGGGTCATAACATTATCATTTCATAGTTCCTTCGAAAATATGATTGAAAGTTTTAGTTCATAGATACTCTCTTTGAAAAAAAATGATACATCAAAGCATATTTTATTAATGTTTGTAATCCTAGCCATTCATACCTTGTGAATATTTCTATCATAATGTTACAAACATATGTACTGATTTTAATGAGGTGTCAAGCAATACTACAATATGAAGTTGTTGAAGCATTGCACAAATGTAGAAAGCATTAAATTTATTTTTCATTTCAATTAGTGATATATAGTTTTATAAAAGAAACTAAAACAATCCATTACCTTCTTAAGTCTTTGATATATCCAAGAGCATGAACTACACCAAGGTTAATACCAACTATACTTTCGAGCCTGCAAGATGAAAAAGATAGCTATTATGAAAACTACAAAAACGAATTTGCAACTTTGGGATTGTTAAGACCAACTACACCAAGGTTAATACCAACTATATGCACCATATTAAGATCCATGGTTTGGAAATTGTACATCTAGATAACACACAATATTTTAATTTCTATAAATATATCTGTCATAAGAAGTTAGTTTTTGCATGTTCTTTGGTCTGTCGCCTGTCATCACACAAGTGAAACTACTAAAGTTGTAAGAAAAAACTCCCAATCTTTCACTAACTACTTAGAGGTACATATTACAAACTAAACACCTAAGCAACATGTATAGAGCAGAAGTATTGCTGAAGGGTCTTTCTAGAACCATCCAATAAAATGACAGAAAAACAAGCATTTCAATGTACCTGTAGGTAGTGGAGTTCCATAAACGAACAGTCCCATCATGTGAACCTGTGATTACTACAGGAAGTTCTGGGTGATGGTAGACACAACTAATATGACGTACATGCCCTTTGAGCGTTTGAACAAGTCTTCCCGTCTCCATGTCCCATATCTAATTAGCAAAGAGGGTGTCAGTGAAGTACTGTGTATCGTTTATGCCAAACAGCATAGTGAGTGTATTCTTCAGTAAAGATGCTATACTTGTGCAGTCCCATCCCATGATCCGGCGATCAAATATTGCCTCATATCAATTGTGTAACTGTGAACACAAAGCAGGCCGTCCGGGTGATCAGACATTGTAATTTTGCTCTCAGGAGAAGAAATGTTCCAGATCTGCAGAGCATAGCAAAGAACAATCTGTTTTATGTCTCCAAGGATTGAATTTAGTAATATTTCTTTTGTGCATAGCACTAATTATGTAGGAAAACCTTTTTTGTAGATAAGATCAAAATTGAAGTCAAACCTTGATTGTGTGATCCAAAGATGCAGTTGCAAAACTGTTGGTGTCCATTGGGTTAAAATTTACGTGTTTTACTCTGTCGGAGTGTCCCTCAAACGTTCGAATACACTTCCAGTTCTTCTTCCGCCAGTTCCAGAGCTTTATCAGGTGATCCTCGGACGAAGAGAGCACAAGAGAATCAGTGGGATGCACATCCAAAGACGTGATATCACTATCATGAGCTTCGATGCTTGTAACTTCTTCCTTTGTATGGTAATTGTATACATAGATCATCCCATAGCCATCGCCAGCGACAATCCATTCCTCTCGCGCAATGAATTTAGCAGAGTAAACTGTATTTGCAACACGATAATATTATACATATGTTTGTTTGTGATGGAATGTTAAATGAACTAAAATGCTTTTCTTATTTCTTTGACTCCTCTATTTATTAATTTAATATGAGAAAGGCAAAATCCTGCGTGTTTCTTCTCTCTTTTTTCTAAAAAGAAAAATAATAAATGGAAATAGTAATGCCAGAAAGGATACCTGGTCTCTGTGTGAAGTCAAAGGATTTAGCTATGGCCTGCACATAAATGAGCGTATTCACTGTAACCAATTGAAAACAGAATTTGTTACCATTGTACAGATGACCAGATGAGATGGAGCAGCAAGCTACCTGCACTTGGTAGTCCCAAATAGCAACCTCTCCTGCTTGATTGGTCGTCAGAATCCTGCATTGCACAAAGAAAACATTAAATGTGAAAAAAGACTTCATAAATCATTTCAAGCGCTATGTTGTAAGGCAGGAGCTAACCATGGTTCCGTCGGATGTGCGTCTAGAGACAGCACATGTGAAAACTTCCTATTGGATACAACCTGATTCAACCGAAACACAGAGCAACATTAATTGGTGAAAAATGTCAACAGTTATAACGAAGAGGCAATGGTTGAAACAAATGGAGGCAAATTACCTCGACCTCTGGCTGTTGCTGCTACCACATGACCACCATTAAAAGAGAAAAAATACAATGCGATACATTAGTTAGATGCAACATATATACATACATTACATAAATACTGGAAGTGTTTACCTTAACAGAGGTTGTCTCTTTTAGTGGGTTAGAAACAACACTTAACTTTAGCTCATACACCTTATCAGCTGCCATGTCTTTCGCTTGTTTAAAAAAATTGCTAAACTCGATGGCTTCTGAGTTTAGATTAGCATTCTGCAGCCCAACAATATCTTGTTCCAAGCAAATGGTGCTCTCTAGGGTGAGAAACTCGTCACTGCTCAGCTGGGATCTCTTCTTCTGATCGCTAACTGTCACTATGAGTGTGTAGATGCACTTTGGCGGCACGATGCAACAGAGTGGCATCTTTGCTATGTACCTCTTGGGGCACTTTGTCAGAAGCCTAACAGCAACGTGGTCATCTGTCGTGTTAGTCAGCTTTAGTGAACAAGAGGTCAGCTGATTGGCCTTAAATGGTAGCTGAAGCTTCCCGGGGTAAACGCCGAGCAGCTTACTGGAGACAGAGTTCATCTACAAGAAGAGAGAAAAAAAAAAAGATCGGTAAGGATACAGGCATCACAATGCACCCACGAAAAAGATGTGCTGACACGCGTCTGCATGCAGGTACCTCTTCATCCGTCTGTCCGTTGCCCTGCATCTGCTCTGCCACATTACCAGTATCCGTGACAGAATGTATCTACAACAAGAAGAGAGAGAGAGAGAGAGAGATTGGTAAGGATACAAGCATCACAAACATATACAGTATGATGCACCCACACGAAAAAGATGCGTTGACACATCTGCATGCAGCTACCTCTTCATCCCTTGGCCCAATGCCCTGTGTCTGCTTCGCCCCATTACCAATGTCCATGACACTGACAACAAAATCGTTTTCTTCATTTTTGATCTCCGCCCGGTCATCCTCTGGTCGTTTTCTTTTTCTTGAGCCGACCAAATCATTTTCTACTTTACTGCTGCTTCCAGTGTTAGCAACAACTGGATCATTTCCGTCCATTTCTATCATTGCCAATCCGTTCTCGTGTGCAATTACTACCCTGTAACTGATTAAGAAGTTGCTGATGAGAAGTTTTATATGGGATCAAAGAGCACAATCTAAATAAAGAGGCGTGATTAACAAAAGCCTAGTGCGTTTTTCCTTTGAAATAGAGGACGTTATTGCCTAGTCAGAAAATTGTAGCTATGTTGTTAAAACAAAAGTGCATAATTTGTGTGACTGATTCTGTACAAACACTTGGCTTATACCGATACACAACAAACCTATAAACTGCCTGTCGAACATGACCTCTTAGTTAATACTCCTCTCTATTCAAAAATAATGTTGCCATTACATTCATATATTTTTGAACATGTTGATTTGAGTTTTGAAAGAAGATATAGGTAAATTTGTCTTATAAAGTACTAGTAGTGTACTACATGTTATGTAAACTCATGCATATATACTTTACACTAGTAAATAGTGGGCACAATGTTGCCTGATATAACCAACCATTGCAATATTGAAAATCACAATCTTGCAATTTTTGAGAGTGCATGTTCAAATACAAAGGTAAGGGATTTATCACTTGATGATGCACAATTGGCAATGCAAGGAGATAGAGCAATTACAACAAGGCCCCTACTTTGTTTTCAAGGGCTAAGGCAACCAAATTGGACTCCAACAAACTTCTACCAAGGTCATACTTTCAGGAGACCACCAAATCACCTGTCGCCAACTCCCTTCCCCCGGTCGTGGGTCTCTAGGGGTCTCCTTATTTTTAATTTGACATTTTCTTCTCCTCATGCTTCCCAATGTTGAAAATTATAATATTGATTGTTGGGGGTATTGCTCTTACAAAGGTAAGGGATTTTCTCACTCTAGAATGCATAATTATTGCCCATGTAGGGAGTTACCTTTTGTAACATACACTAGGTTTTTGGCATGTATTTCCTCCATTCTGTAATATAAGTGATTTGTAGCTGTCCTAAGCTAATAAATCATCCTAAGTTTGACCAAGTTTGTAAATAAAATTATTAACATCTACCGCATCAATGGGCTAAATTATGAAAATATTTTTTCATGATGTATATAATGAAGCTCAATTGATATCATAAATACTTTTTTCTATGAAGTTGGTCAAAAATAGAATTGTTTGACTTTTGACAACTAGAAATCCATTACATTTTTAGGAAGGAGGAGTATTTACTTAAGAGTTACCACTTGGGTCTCAAGGGTGTTTTAGGATAGTCCGGGTTGATGAAGATCAATTCATAAAGATTAATATGAAAGCAAATAGGTATAAAATGTCTAACCATGAATCTAATGGTTATTTGGTAATATAAATATTATTATTTTTATGAATTTAAGATATTTTGGTTTAGGGCAAAACTATAACATTAATTTCTTTTGGGACGGAAATAGTAATTTATTTTAGCTTCCATAACTTGATGGTCTGTGTGTAGCAATGCTCATGACAACCGAACCACACAGACCAGCTGGGATTGTTTTCTTGCATACCTTCTTGAGCTATCCATACATACTTTTACATCTGCAACAAGGCCAAGGATCTAGCGGGGCCTAACGTTAATTCCAAGGATCTAAAGGGGCCTAACGTTAATTTCTTTTGAGACGGAAATAGTAACTTAATTTCGGCTTCCATAACTTGATGGTCTGCGTGTAGCAATGCTCATGACAACCGAACCACACAGATCAGCTGGGATTGTTTTCTTGCATACCTTCTTGAGCTATCCGTACATACTTTTACATCATTAACACGTTCTAGGCCAAAGTTAAACGTCCTCTCAGGCCTGGCAGAGTACAAGGCATATACGGTATTTGTTATCAGTGGGCAAACATTGAAACACGTGTTGTGCACAGTAGTAAAAAGATTGAAACTGTCCTAGTTGAAATCAATGAAACTAAGCTTCAAACTCAAATAGTATTAAGCGAAAGTGAACAGATGATGATTGTAAATTAGCAGAAACGACATGATAGTAAAGAAACAGCATATATTTCTGTTCGTTGATTCTTTTATACCATTCCTTAGAAGACTGTAACAATGATCAAGTTGTATGCACAGGAAGATGGGATCATGGGGAAAAAGCTGGAACTCTGTTTTTATTATTATCTAAAAAATCTGATAAGGCACGGCACAATGTTTTGATGTTCGACTGAATAATTGTGTTACGTACGGGACATGCCACAATCACTATACGTCTATACTACTCCAACAGGATGATCAATAAAGAAGACACAGTTATACATATGTAGAATGTAGTATATTCTATTCTAACGACCGCTGACATGCCCAGATGCCCTGCAGGTCGTCATGTATATATAAGCTGCACCGATGCATGTCCCCTACAAGCAGTAGTCATGTGCTTTTACCTGAGGGTATTTGGGTTCCATAGACAAACAGTTCCATCAACTGAACCAGTAACTAGTACTGCATGCTCGGGATCGGAACAGATTGCGTTCACTGGACTAAAATGTGCGTCTTTGACTGTTTCAACAAGATTCTGTGTGTGCATGCTCCAAATCTGAGTCAACAGAAGAAATGGACTATAATTAATAATGCTTCGTATATGTATGTTCAACATCGTACTTACTGAAAAGATGCCACACCTTGACAGTCCCATCAGGGTTAACAGTAATCAAGTATAGCTGGTCACCATTAGCAAAGATATCGAAGCAAGCTATAAAACCTGGATCTTTATATTCTGACAATATGAATTCAGAAGAACGAAGACTGCAAATCTGAAGAAGGATGGTAAATAGACCGTCAGAAGGCTATATTACCAGATTGACTAAAGTTTTGGATAAAATAGTGGTACAAGACTGAAACCTTTATTATTCCGCCACCGCCATGAACTGCAAAAGTATCCGTATCCTTTATGTTTAAAAAGGTGACTCCATAGACAGGGTCAAAGTCAACAAACTTAAATATTCGAGTGCATTCCCAGCCCTTTTCCCAGTCCCACAACTTAACATTTCCCTCGGACAAAGAAGCTGACAGGACATATGACTCGGTTGGATGAACTTCCAAGTCCGTTATGCCATGTACGTCAGCTTGAAAATACGTGAGTTGCTGCATTGCCCTGTAGCAATACACATGAATGTAACCATCCTCATCTCCGGCCACAAACCATTGCTTGCGTGCAATAAATTTGGCCACCGTCACATCTGGAATTGCAGTGATTAATTAATTTATTAGCGAGTGCGCCGGAAAAGAAACAGCTGGAAGTAGAGTAGAAGTAAAAAAAGACTAGAAATCACCTTCTATCGGCGGAAGCATATAAGGCAGGTCCAACTTTGCCTGCGCATAGACAGAAAAGCCGTTCGTTTTATTACTCTAAGTAGCGACTAGTATTTTTTTCTAGAACACATAAGAGAAGTACGTATCATTATATTTAGAAGAAAAATAAAGAGTGAAAATCAAAACAACCCCTTAGAAAGGCATGACCAGTACAACAGAAAAAAAAACACAAAAAAAAGAAGGACCAACAAATCAATCATGGCCATAAGCTACGAAGCCCTTTGAAAGTGCATTTGCCCTCTATGTGGGTTTTGGTGTATTGATGACATCTAAATTAAGGACTAATGTGATGTTAATGAGATATGTCACCGCTATTAGTCCCATAAAAGATTCAAAGAGTTGATAAAGATGAAATGGTATCCCTCGATTTTTGAAATTGTAAAGGCAGACGAACTCAAAGCGCTCTCCAAGGGTTTTATATTTTGTTTTTGAGTTCAAGATCCGCCGCACTATAAAGAGGGATGCAAACTTAGTTCGTCTGAGGAAGATAGAGTGCTCAAGCATAAAAATAAAATCAAAAGAGAGAAACTCTAGCACTCCACGAGCACGTAGAATATTTTTCGGTGACTGTTGGTGTCGGAAGTCCCGACGTAAGCCGGAACTCCCGACCGTCGGAAGTCACGACTCACGCCGGAAGTCCTGATGCCTAGTCACTTAGTCTGTGCGGTGACCGTGGCCGTTGGAAGTCCCGACCCAAGTCAGGAGTCCCAACACATGGGGTTTTGCTAGCCGGCTGACTGCGCCCGTCGGGAGTCCCGACGTTTGTCGGGAGTTCCAACATTGACTTGCTCGTGAGGACTTTGACCCTACGTGAACAATGTTTTCTATTAAGGTCAGAAGTCCTGAGATCTGCGTCGGAACTTCCGACGTAGATCTGAACATTAGATTTCTACTGTGAGTATAAATAGCCCTCTCCTCACTTCTAACCGCAATTGACTGATTCACAGCTCACCCTTCATCCAAAACAACTCCCAAGCATTCATGGCACTCCTCTCCTCTCCCCTTTGCTCCAATCTTCGATTCCCCTAGGGTTTTGAGTGAAAGAAGAGTGGATTAAGTGAGAGAATCACTTTGGCAAGCTTGAGCACTTGATTTCTTCGTCAAGCCAGTTGGATTTGAGTCTATTACTCTTGGGGCTTTGCCCCTAGCCGGCTAGACGTTGCCCAAGAGCTTCCATCTTGTGGAAGAGCCTTGGGAAGTTTGTATTACCCTTGATTCTTAGTTAAAAGCTCAAGTGACCTTTGTGGTTGCTTTGAGAGAGTCAAGGAGGTGAAAGAGACTTCGACCTTTGTGGTCACCTCAACAATGAGGACGCAGGAGCTCCTTTGTGGGGTTGCCGAACCTCGGGATAAATTCTTGTGTCCCGTGTGCTTGTTGTTGTGTTTGCTTGAGATTGCTTATATTTGTTTGTCTCTCTCTCCCGAACTTTATGTTAGGGTTTGGACTCGACTATGGTTTGGAGGCATTTCGGCATCAAGGGAGTGACCCAACATCTTCACCAAACCACTAGGAAGTGGGGTTACAAGATTATTTATCCGCAAAGTTAAATTTGGCACTGCTTTTGTAGTTCACGTAGGCGTCGGGACTTCTGACAGTTTGTGCCGGAACTTCTGACGACGTCGGGAGTTTTGACCCAAACTGTCGGGACTTCCGACATTGACTGACAAATTTGAACTTAGCATTTGTAGTTAATTTTTAGATATGTCTATTCACCCCCTCTAGGAATTGTTAGATCCATTCAACTAGTATCAGAGCAAGGTCTTCTTTTAGCGCTTCACCGCGTGAGAAGAAACAATGTCGGAGTCTGACAAGATGCAAGCCGATGCCGCCGAGATGGCCAAGAAAATAGCTGAAGAGTTGATGACTGCTCAAGTCAAGTTCTTCCAAGATGAAATGAAGAAGATGCAAGATGAGATGAGCAAGATGAAGGAAGAATTGAGCAGGAAAGTTGATGATGCAATAAGTGGCAAGAATGATACAACAAGTGGCAAGAATGAAGCAAACAAAGATGCTGCTAGTGATATTCGAGCCGGTGAGCATGCTCATGGAAAGGGAATATATTCAAACATGAACTTTGAGTATGGACAACTCATCAAAGGTTCTCCTCTACGTACTCCTTCCTTCAACATTGGCAAGCAACCTAACTTTGATGGAACAAGATACACCGATTGGTCTTACAAGATGAAGATGCATCTCATTGCCACAAGACTTTGGGAAGTTGTGGATGTTGGTGTGGTGATTCCTACCGATGAAGATAGAGAGATAACTCTAGAAGAAGTGCACAATCTCCATCAAAATGCACAAGTTGTAGCATTGCTTGTGTTAAGCCTAGCTCTGGATGAGTTTAGAAAGGTGAATGGAATGGAGAGTGCAAGGCAAATTTGGGATACTTTAAAAGTGTCATTTGAAGGAGATAGGAGTGTGAGAAAAGGAAACATTGAGTTACTTCATGGTGAATTGGAAAGATTTGTGTTCTTGCAAAATAAAACAACACAATCCATGTTTGATAGGCTTATGGCATTGGTCAACTGCATAAGAGCTCTTGGAAGCACCAAATAGGATGACAACAAGGTTGCTAGAAAGATGTTGAGAACCTATAGAGCCAAGAACAACATGCTAGCGTCTGTGATCATGGAAAGGCCTGGTTATGATGAGATGACACCCCAAGAAGTTCTTTCAAACCTCAAGCATCATGAGTATCTAGATGAAGATGCAATTAATGCTCATAATCAAAATCCTAATGCAATGGGATACAACAAGAATACAGCCCTTAAAGCAACTCAACAACATGAAGGTCAAGGTTCAAGTCAAGAGAAGAAGAAGAAAGTGAAGGATGATTCCTCAAGTGGAGATGAAGATTCCAATGCGGAGGTTGCATTTGTGATTAGAAATCTTAGAAAGTTTATGAAGAAGAAGAGCAACCGCAAGACATATGGTCATGAAAAGAGAAGGTACAAGAAGAGGTTTTGCTATGGATGTGGTCAAACCGGTCACTTCATAGCCGATTGTCCTAATGAGAAGAAGCACAAGCACGACAGGTATGAAGACAAGAAGAACAAAGGCAAGAAGAGAGGTGAAGCTCATCTTGGTGAAGAGTGGGAGTCAAATGATAGTGACTCAAGTGATGATGAGAAGAAGAAGAAGGGAGCTGCAAACATCACCATCCACCACTCTTCCTCACCGACCATGATCTTTTCCGACTCGACTTTGCCACCAAAACTCTTCCCTAACCTATCTTCATCACCGAAGCTCTTCTCCAACCTTATCGACAACGACTACTACACTCTAACTTGCCTCATGGCTAAGGGGGAGAAGGTACATGTTACATCCGATCCCTCTAGTGATGAGTATGATAGTTGTGATGAGAACATAGAAGAAATTGAAGCAACCATGATAAAGAAATTTGGTAAAAAGGCCTTCACTAAAATAAAAACGCTAATGAAGAAATTAGAGAAGAGGGATAGATGCTTAGAGATGCAAGGAGATATAATCACTCAAGAGAGAGAAAAACCTTGCACTTGAAGCATCTATCGCTGAGGAAAAGATGAAGGTTGAGAAGTTAACCGTAGAATTGTCTTTAGCCAATGACTCAATTGGGAAATTGACTAAGGAACATTCCTCGGTTAATGATCAAGTATCTAGCCTCAAGAATAAGAAGAGTATAACTCAAGAAAGCCTCACAAGCTTGGAAGAAAAATACCAAAATCTTGAGCTAAACTATAGTACTCTTTGGGCTAGCACTTCAACTTCTCCTAAGGCAACTGAAGACTCTAATGTCTCCACTAGTAATGGTTGTAAAAGATGCTACAAAATTGATGTGAATGCATATGCAACTAACCTTGTTGAGTTAGAGAAGAAAAACAAGTAGATTCATAGGTTGAAGATGATCTTGAAGAATGGGTGCAAGTGTCAAGAGCAATCCAACAAGACTATATACAAGTCATCAAGGCACCCATCAATCAAGGAAGGCATTGACTACAATAGGTATGATGGAAAGGCAAATGGAAGGAACATGATCAATGGCGTGCCTTGTGTGAAGTTCAACAAGGGCGTTGCTCTTGATGAGCTTATATGCAAGGCCAACAACAAGGTCTATATTCCCAAGATCCAACCTACAAGTGACAAGACAATCAAGACGAAGCAATCCGAGGCCCCCAAGCCACAAGCACTACTTCCACGGTGCTATGCTAGTGACTATATGTGTTGTTGGGGCAAGGATGACAAGATTGTGGTCAAGTATGTTGGTGCCCAAAAGAGGAAGGAAATTATGAGTGTTTGGGTGCCCAAGTTTTATGTGACTAACCCCCTAGGACCCAAATCCTTTTGGATACCTAAAATAAAAGCTTGATTTGTCTTTGTAGGAATATTCCTCTGGTGGAACAAGTTGGGTGTTGGATAGTGGATGCCAATCATGTGACCAGAGAGAAGGACATGTTCACGTCATTCCAACCAAGTCATGATCAAAGTGGGAATATTGTGTTTGGTGACAATGGAAAAGGAGTTTTTAGTTTGGGTAAAATTGCTATATCAAATGATAATTCCATTTCAAATGTTTTACTTGTGAATTCGTTAAGATACAATTTGTTATCCGTCTCACAACTTTGTGAGATAGGTTACAATTCTCTTTACGAATAAGGGTGTGAAAGTCTATAGAAGGGAGGATTCCTCTATTGCATTTACGGGTCATTTAAAAGGGAAACTCTATCTAGTTGATTTCACATCAAATAGAGTAAATTCTGAGACTTGTTTGATGGCAAAATCTAGCATGGGTTGGTTATGGCATCGCTGACTTGCCCATGTTGGGATGAGGAACTTGGCTAAACTTCAAAAAGGCGAACACATTCTTGGACTAACAAATGTTTCTTTTGAGAAAGATAGGATTTATAGCACATGCCAAGCGGGAAAACAAGTTAGAGCTAAACATCCCGTCAAGAATGTTGTGACAACCGAAAGGTCATTGGAGTTGCTTCACATGGACATATTTGGACCCGTCTCTTATA